GTCTGTTCGCTTGCCTCCTCCAACGCCATACCCCTCTCTCAAGAGCCAGAGTGGCGTCGGAAACCTCAAGAGCCTCAGGTCGGAATGCCCAGGGAACGGAACTAGATGCATGGGATGCCAGCGACACCGACGCCCGTTCGTTAATGATTTCACTTCTACGATCAACCAAGAGGTTCGCGACAGGGGTTCACCTAAACTTATCTAGAAGCACCGCGGGTGCTTTTCGGTGCATAGGTGCAGAATTAGACTGTCGTATTTCCCGGATTCGTCTTAGGAAATTATCTTTGGTGCATTTTGCGTCTTTGTTTTTTGTAAGTATGGGATGCTGTAGTTCCGCTTGATTCGTTGGCTTGGATATTGGAATTGGCCCCCAGCTTGTGTCAATATGCATATGCGGAGTTGTTAAAGAGCCTCTGACACGGCAAAAAAAAAATTTCTTTTTTATGCTAGGCGTTGAAATGGCATGTCAGGACATTACAAAAAAAATTGTTTCACTATAGAGGTGCGTAGTTTTTTTAATAAAATAGGAATACGAGGCCCAATTCAAAGTTCCCGCCAGTACACTGTGACGTGACAGTGTATCCAAGGCGCAAGGTGTCGGGGCTGTCAGAAGGGAGGCATCGCCGGAAGTCACGTGAGTTGTATCCCTCCTCGTGCTTACCGCGAGCGCGTGTAATATTTTTTAAATATTTTTGTTATTCTCCGCACCTCCACGAGCGATCCAAGCAGACAAGGTTTATTTTATTTGCTTTTCATCGCTTAATGTTGCTGTAAAGGTAGAAGAAGAGGAGTCAGTGAATTTGACGTGATAAACTACAATGCCTAGAAGGTGCTGTGTGAGGGACTGTCCCGGTATTTCACTGCAACTGAAGAAAAGATCACACTGCATGCATTTCCGAGAGACGGCAGGCATCTTCAGCCTGGAGAGAATACGATGATTCGACGACCTCGGTGTCCGAATCTTCAGCAATGCAATTGGGCGTGTCGTACGCAAGCAATCGTAATTTCTGCGAGCGTTCTAAATTTTTTTTCAAAAGTTTCTTTTGTGCACAGTATAGCTCTGTATTATCGGACTGACGGCATGTGCTTGTACACTGGCTTGTACTCGCAATGCTTTCATCATTGACCTCCATCACGCCGATCTACTGACTCTTCGTCCTCAACTTTTACAGCACGCAAACTAACCAACGGTGCAGCGATAAAAAGCTAGTGGAGCTGAAACTTCGTTTTCTACAATCGCTCGTACAAAGAGCAGAACAAAAAAAAAAAATGTCTTAGGCAGGGTCCATAGAAATCATACATACTAACTTAAAATGTCTTAGGCACGGTCGCGGAAAGCACGAGGAGTGAAACACGCGTGGCTTCCTGCGAACCCACTTTTAGTGACGTATTTCGATGCCTCCCTTCTGACCGCCCCGACACCTTGCGGTGCACTGTTACGTCACAGTGCACTGGCGGGAACTTTGAATTGGGCCTCCTATTTATATTTTTATAAAAAAAACTACGCACCTCTATAGTGAAAAATTTTTTTTGTAATGTCCTGACATGACATTTTAACGCCTAGCATGAAAAAAAAAATCTTTTTTTGGCGTGTCAGAGGCCCTTTAATGCAGTTTTGACGCGCCGACCGTACAAATTATACAAATGGTCAGACTTCACTAAATAACGGCACTTTCGACGCACTCAGCGCCTGCAAGTTTTTTTCTGTCACTTTTTGACACCCAATTTATGCTGATAAGAAGGACCGAGGTTTTTCTTTTGTATTGTGTCCATCCAGAAGTCTAGGGAGCGGAATTCTAGAGGGTACTGTATACAGTCTAAGTCAATACTTGAAAGTAAACATATTCGACAGATATCTGCCTAGTTGGGTGAGAGTTAAAGTCTGAAAATGTATCTCCAACCAAAAATTGAAAAGCAACCCGTCGTTTCAAAACACACATGGTTTCTTTTTCAGGGGTGACTGAAGGCACGCGGACACAGCAGCAGCTCCCAACCTCTTCGTCTTCAAAAAAGAAAAGAAAAGAAAGAGAAAAAGAAAAATTAAAAAGGAGAAGTTAGGAAATTGACAAAACGTAAAATAACTTGTTAGTTATGAAGATGGTCGTCTCTTCATTCAATATGACAATGCAACGGCCGTCTCTTCCAAAAATGGTCGCGGCTGTGGAGGACGGAATTATGCACTTAGACCCGAGCATCCGGGATGGAGTGCGGCTTAAAGCGGTGGGCATCCTGTCCAAGCTCCCACAACGGCAACGACACAACCTGCCGGCGGAAGAAGTTACAGCGCTTCGCAAACTTCGCGAAGATACGGAGATTGTGCTTCTGCCGGCTGACAAAGGGAAGTTGACCGTCGTCCTGGACCGGGAGGTATACGAGGAAAAGGTACGGGATCTTCTTGGCAGCCATGCATATGTAAAGCTCAAGAAAGATCCGACGCCGCAGGTTCAGAGGAACTTGAACAAAATCCTGGCAGAGATTTTCAAGAAATACCCTGAGTCAAAGAGCCTTTACTTGCGACTTATTGCAGGAATGGCTCCCCTTACAAAAAAATGAACTGACTTTCAATTGAAAGTGTAAAGGACTCACTCAATAGACCTCATTCAGTCTCAATTGAAACTTAATTGACTTTTTCTATTGAGTCGCTATTGATCCGTCCCAGACTATTGGCCACTGAGTCTTAATTGAATTTCTAGCAATTGCATTTCAATTGAATTTTGGCAATAGTGTTTCAATAGAACTTTTGCTATTGAGTTTTAATAAAAATATTGCAATTGACTTTCAATTGAATAATTGCAACGTGCTTCAATGGAATTTATTGCAACTGCATTTAAAAAAATTGCTCTGGTTGAGAATTTTTTTTCACAATTCTTTAAAGCATGCAACATGAAGGAAACAAAGCACATAGAGGAAACGAACACAAACATCGTAACTAAGCACTCACAACCCACTAATCGTACTCCCTTGACTACCCCACCGCCTTATATACCCTACATAAGAAAGGTATTCATTTGGCCGGTGACCACCTCAGCATCTACTAAGGTTCCCAGTTTCCTATTTCCTCCTTGAAAGTCTCATAGATGATACACAGTGTTTCGACGTCATTGGACTCTATCCCTTAATAGAAAAACATTGGTACAAGCAATAATCGTTCGGTGCACACGGGTGCAGTAATCCACAAACGACCAAACTCAATTGCATTCCTAATGAGTAAATTCAATGGAATCGATATTGACTTTCTTATGACCAAACTCAATTTCATTCCTAATGAGTAAATTCAATAGGATCGATATTAAGTTTATTATGACCAAACTCAATTGCATTCCTAGTGAGTAAAGTCAATAGAATCGATATTGAGTTTTTTATGAGCAGTCTCAATTGCATTCCTAATGAGTAAATTCAATAGAATCTAAATTGAGTTTCTTATGACCAAACTCAATCGCATTCTCATTGAGTAAATTCAATGGAATTGATATTGAGTTTCTAACGATCAAACTCAATTGCATTCCTAGTGAGTAAAGTCAATAGAATCGATATTGAGTTTCTCATGATCAGTCTCAATTGCATTCCTATTGAGTTAATTCAATAGAATCGAAATTGAGTTTCTTAGGACCAAACTCAATCGCATTCCTATTGAGTAAATTCAATAGAATTGATATTGAGTTTCTAATGATCGAACTCAATTGCATTCCTAGTGAGTAAAGTCAATAGAATCGATATTGAGTTTCTTATGATCAGTCTCAATTGCATTCCTATGAGTAAATTCAATGGAATCAAAATTGAGTTTCTAATGGTCAAACTCATTAGACATTGAGTTTATATCGAGTTTCAATTGACTCTATAGGAACACAATAGAAAGTCAATTGAAACTCATTGATCATTTTTGTAAGGGTCCGCTCCAGGTTTTTATGGCCTTCCAAAGATCCACAAACCCAACGTGCCTCTACGACCTATTGTGGACTTTACAACGTCACCGCTTCGGGCGCTATCCAATTATCTTCACCGGACTTTGGCTCCCCTCGTCGGAAACACGTCGACCCATGTAGAAAATGCTGGTCACTTCGTGGAACGCGCCTCGCAAATACATCTCAGCAACGCTGACACCATGGTGACTTTCGACGTGGTGTCCCTCTTCACAAGTGTCCCAGTTTCCCTTTCAGTTGCTGCAGGCTAGAGAACGTACAAGTAAACACACGCAAACTAAAAGCGAAAGACCATGGTGCCTGGACTGCGGTTGATTTGTTTAGTCAATGATAACACGCACACAGTAAGATTATGAATGCCGCCTCGCTTTAATTTTGTCTTAGCTTCACTGACCAGCTGGGTAGAGTTCGCTGCGCTCGGACTTAATTAAGATGAAGAAAATTACGGGGTGAGAGAATATTGTACCGAATCGAATAGCCATATTATCCCTAAATTAAAAAAAAAAAGTCAAAAGAGCACTCATATGGCGACTTCCTCTTCCAGAATAAAAGTTCGAAATGAGATTCAAACCATTCCTTGCCCCCCCCCCCCCCCCCCCCTTTCTCAAATGTATACACGTTTGAAGCGTACTTGAACTAGTCAAAACTCTGGTTGACGCGTTGTCAACGTTGGGCTCTTCGCGAACAATGCATGGCTAAACCCCACGCCCTCCTTTTTACAACTCTGCATTCTATTGATTGCAAGCGCGAAACAATTAGCACGCCAAGATACTTCTTTTTGAAACGTTACTTTTTATCTATTTGCATGAAATTGAAATGAGCCACCAAGTCGTTTGAACTATGGTCATCTGAAATGGCGACATGGGAAGGGGTGATGGGACATAGAGGACAAGCCATATGTCAAAGGGAAGGCTCGCTACCCGCATGAAGGCAATCAGCGAGTCGAAAAGGTGTTTCCTGTGTTCAGGTAGCTTTGTGCACGCCGAGATTCAAAAAACATATCTGAAAACCAAGCCCCACCTGCCGGTTTGCGCGCCAAGCAAAGTATCGAGCGTGCTCCAGAGTTGCTGCCGCGTTCCGCCGAGCGGCGCCGTCGGTCTCCAACATGGCGATCGCGCAGGATTTCTCCCACGTAAGCGGTTACGACGAGGCGCCGGCGTTCCTGCGCCAGAACCCCTTCATCCGAGGAGGCTACCGCGTCTTCTACACTCCCAAGCAATGCCTGCGGAGCCTGTTCGAATGGAACAACGAAACCCTGAACATCTGGACCCACCTGGCTGGTATGGTCCTCTTCAGCGGCGTTCTAGTGCACGACGTGAGCACCCGTCTCCCGATAGCCCAGGCCAGCGCGACGGACTCACTCATCTTGGTGTCCACGTGCTGTGCCTACATCACCACGCTGTCCCTGTCCGTCCTTTACCACACGTTCAACTGCCAGTCGCGGCGGGCGTACGAGCGTCTACTGCAGTACGACATCGCGGGTGTCAGTCTGAGCCTCTGGGCAACCTTCGCGTCGGGCGTCTTTCTGGCATTCGACAACTACCCGTCGCTGAGAGTCATCTACATCCTCTTGGAAGGCGTCCTTCTGGTGCTCGCCATCGCAAAGAAAGGGCAGTACCCCACCAAGCTTCTCGTTGGCCTCGCTGCGTTTGGCGTAGTGCCAACCATTCACTGGGTGTACCTGGCGCCGTCGAACATGCCCGTCATCTGTCCAAGGGTGCTGTTGCTGTTCATGAGCGCTGCGGCGTCTTTTCTGGTTTTAGAGTGCCGGTTTCCCGAGCGCGCCTGGCCCGGACGCCACGACATCGTCGGCGCTAGTCACCAGATCTGGCACGTCCTGGTGGTCTTGATGACACTCTGGTGGCACGAGACTGCCTTTGAGTTTATCCGTTGCAAGACCGGACTCTGCTAAGTCGCATTAGTGGCCGGTGGTCGATACTCCCCGTTTCGAGGTGAATCCGACGCCGGAGAAAATACTACCGTCCGATGACGCCAATCAAGCAGCCCCAAAAAGTGCATCGTCATGGCGCGCATCATCTTCGTGCGTTTGGTATCACCGACCAAATCAATGACGCGCAGTGAATGCGCATCGATCATGCGCTTTATTCTGTGCGGGATTATTTTAGTCGTTTATATGCGGAGCGTAAGTTCATCTGCTTCTTTTGCAGAAGTTGTGGTGACGTCAGAATGCCGAGCTCTGATTGGGTCTGATGGAAGGATAGTGGGTAGGCCTCAAAGCAAGCTGCCTTAACGTCTACCCACAATCCTTCAATCAGAGTCATTCAGTACTCGGCGTTCTGGCGTCACCACAACCCCTGCAAAACAAGCAGACAAACTTGCGCTCCACATAGCAAACCCACAAAGCTAATGAGCGCTATGACGATGCACTTTTTGCACAACATGATTGGCTCCATCGGTACCTCTGGTCGGCTACAGTGAAACGGAGTATGGACACCTTTTTGCGTAGTTCTCAAATTTCGAAACACGAATTCGCTTTCTTGTAAGTATAAGTTATAAATCTTCACTTCGAAAAGAAAAGAAGAAAGTAATGGAAGGCATTTGCCTATTTTTGCGTCTTTTAGTTGCTCTTCAGCTCGACTTTCCAATAGCAGAGCACACTGAGAGAACCTAGTTGTAAAATATGTCTCGAAAATAAAACGTTAAGGATTCTTGCAGCAGGAGAGGCGACGTGTGTGGGTCCTATTATGTGGCACGAGACAGCACGCAGACCGCGAGTGTCGTTAGGGCTGCGCACGCAGTTCCGTACATGGAACTAAAGTGGAAGTTGTAAGGTTTGACTACAATATGAATCCCCAAAATTTCGTTTTTCCGCCTTTATTGAAAATGTAATAAAACAGACTATAGTTTCATTATACCTCAGGTTTCAAAAACCGGCATGGCCAACACCACCCATAATACAAAGTATTTACGCAGGTTACTCTAATATCACCGGATCATGGAAAAGTAGCGCCAAGCTCCTCGTATGGTAGCCATTTTAGTTCAGGGAATGAGCAGTTTCTTCTTGACATATCCATCCGTGGTGCGCAGATCTAATTTAGCTGGTGACGGGCAGGTTCATAGAGACGTTTCTTGAATACCGAGATTCTATTATCCACACACCGGCAAAGCAAGCGCACATGTTAGCACCGCCACCATATGCGGCGTCGGTGCTTGGCATCATTAAAGAATAATCTTCCTGTCTTTAAATACGTAACAACAGCAATTCTCTTGTAAAATATATGTGGAGTGGAGATAAGCATGATTGCTAAGTGGACAGAGCCATTGGCGAGAAACGCGTTCAGTACGACGATGCTCCATGGCGATGTTGGTGTGAATGGTTCAGAACGACCATTTCAAAGCTTCGAAGATTTAAGTGGACCGTAAGGGCGGTTGCCATGGCAACTGAGACCGATCAGCCAATCGCCTTTCGAGACTTCGTCGTCTGTATGCTGTTTGTGTCCGGCTAGCAGGCAGGGCAGGCGATAGCGCAACTTTCCCAGGATCTAGTGACTTTAGATTACTAGATACCTCCAACTAACCTCACACTCGGATGGCACCAACTCAGCAATGGCGTCCGACGCCGTGTCCTGCGACGCATTAACTGGACACGAGGCCCAGCAGAAAACTAACGCAACATTTGTGTCCATTACTCCTGCGCTCGATCTCACTGGAATGACGTCGCCACGCTATAGTGCACGAATATCGATCGTTCTAAGTTGTGTTGGCAGGGAGCCAGGTGGGAGCAAATGAGATAATGAACCTACATCTGATATCATTGATACGTTTATATCCCATAGATTCACCTGAGCTCACTATATACTTGGTTTCACCTGAAGTCCAGACGTTGCCGACTCTACGAGCAGGTGAGGCCAATGAGAAAACGCCAAATGCGCACGATCGTGGTGTTCGTGTTCAATCATCGCTGAACCGATCGTAAGCAGAAAAAGGCCCAGTGATTTTCGCTTTTAACGATGCTTGATTGGTTCCATTGATTCAATTGAGTGCATGACTCATGTAACATTTATGTAGCCGGTAACTCCCCCTCCCCCCTTTGTTTGGTATATCTAACTTCCTTCCCCTCTCTGCTTAAGAGGCACTGTAAACCTTTACCTTTCGGTACGGGCGTAACGCCTGATCACAGTGACCCAACTCTCCAGAAAGAAAGAAACAAATAAACATTACCTTCTATTAACGTCAGCTTCGTCTGTACTTAAGTTCTATACACCGCGCTCGTTCTTCCGCATCTCGAGTACTGTAGTGCGGTGTGGTGCCCACGTCAAACTAATTTGGTTGACAGCCTGGAAAGCGTTCAGCGGCGTGCTACTCGGACATACTTTACTCGCCAACACAATCCTGCGTTGCCCTACGCCAGTCTGGCGTTTCCTGGCTCATCGGAGAAGAGTCGCCAGGGTGGGCCTTACCTGCCGACTCCTCGACGGCTCGCTCAAAGGGACGTACCTTGCGACCATGACCATCCCAAGGATTAACAAGAGATCGGGACAGCCTGAACTTATTCGAGCGCGTACCAAACACCACAGTTCCTCGCCGATCTTAGCCGGTATCGAGGACTTCATCTCGGCCCCGCTCAGGATACGTTCGTCGCTTCCCCAGGACCGTACTGAATCTGTGTCGATGTGTCGCTTGTTTTCAAAGCACCTACAGCAGCAGGCGTCATAACAGTGGTGTATGTAGTGTGTGTTTGTGTGTGTGTGAGTCAACTTACTCTCTACATTTCACCCTCATTTTTCCTTTAAATCATTTTGGGTTACGGCCCTGTGTACAAATTTGGTATGCGTGTGCGTGTGTGTGTTTTTTTTTCAAATCCTGGGTGGCGGGCTGGCAGGCGCACTCGCGTACGGGTTTTAACCTTTCTGCACAGCCGTGCACGCCGCTCAGGATCAGATTTTTTGTATGCAAATAAATATTATTATTATTATTATTATTATTATTAAGCTGAAACGAAGTAATGGCCTCGAGATCGACCTAGAGGTGGTGCTACTGTCGCGCTATCATCATCATCGAAGCGGGGATAGAAGCATGGCCTTACCATAGGCTCTCCACGTTCGCTCCGAGACGGTGTAGATTCTTGCGTTTATTTTGGCGTATATTATCGGTGAGAAAACAATTTTAACGGAAAAGGGTGCGGTATTGTTTGGTGTTTCAATGAAGATCTAATTGTGTTTCCAGCGTACTGATTATATTTACATAATCCCATACAAAAATGTTATATGGTCGGCTATAGAAAATCCTTTGTACGGCCGGCTATAGAAAATTGGCCCAATTAGCTATAGCCACTTCTACGGCTCCCTATGGTCTCCCCTATCTATGGCTGCTTATAGCTTTTCCTATGAAAAGCTATAGAATTTTGCATGGCTTACTCTATAGGTTTCTTTAGAAAGGATGCTTTAGCCGACTATGGCTTTTGTTTTGGTTCCTTTAGCCGTCCATAGCTGGCCTGATATAGAGATCTGTATGGCTTACTCTATGGATCTTTTTAAACAGGGTGCTATAGGAGCTTATGGCTTTTCTTATGGTTCCTCTAACCGCCTATTGTTATCTGCATGATCCTCTATAGCTTATTCTATAGTTCGTCCTATGGTTCTATTTACCATTGTGCTATAGCTGCCTATAGCTTTTCTTATGGTTTATTTAGCCGCCTATTGTCCTCTGTATGGTTTGCTATAACTTATTCTATAGCTTGTCCTATGGTTCCTTTTACCATTGTGCTCAAGCTGCCTATAGCTTTTTTTTTCTTTCTGCCGCAACCGTATGAGATGTACAGCAAATTATATGTTGTCACTGCACATCTTAATAAAAAAAGCGCCGACCTTGTACGGAGATGTAAAAAAAGGTTGGACATCTCAAACACTACGTTTCGAACTTGATAAACGAATCTAAAACATCGCGCGAACCCTTCAACAAAAAGTATGCACTCGCCCAGGTGTTTGCAAAAAGGCAGGTGAACAGAAACAAGAAATTGTTTTCAAATCTCCTTGAAATTTATTACACACACACAACCTATTCTGTAGACAAGTACAAACTAAGCAATCTGTAATTTGTGCAGAGGTACTACTCAGCAGTTATACAAGTGAGAAGATTTCAAAGCAAACAAAAACCGGGGTAACAACCACTCAAACACAAAAACTAGATGGAAGGGATCCGTGGAGATTCAACACAATGTAGCACAAGCTGTCATTTGCCGAACCGAACACTGAACGCATGACACGAATATCTTGGGCTTCTTTGAGGAAATCGCTTGTTGCCGAAATACGGATAGGACTGTTCGAACGAGATATCCTTTATATTTTGCGAAATATAAGTTTGGGAACATTTAGTGGGCACGAAATTTTACGATTGGAAGTGGTTCGCCATGTACCGTGTGCAATAGAGCGATGTAATTCAGTGATAAAGTTTTCTCAGTATTTTTAAATCGTAAAATATACCGAAATTAGTTATTCGTAAAATCAGGTGCGTTTTAGTGTATGATGCTGCCGCAGAAACAGTAAGGAAACATGCATGTTTCATTTTTAACTAAAAAAAGGCGAAATAAAGATACCACAAAAAATGTTATCGTAAAAGAAAGAAGAAAACTGTCGTTGCTGTTTTTTTTCTTTCTTTTCTTTTTGGTAAAACGGTTTCAAGACATTTGTTGAAATGAACGAACCACGCGAGGAACCCAATGGGGCAAGCAGATGCCAGCATGCAAGAAGAAAACTGACTTGGCTTTTTTTCAGTTTTACTTTATACTTCACTTTATAACAATAAAATGCTTAGATGGGCCAGTTGGTACATCCTGGGAAAATAAGCGCCAAAAAAACACGGGCAAAGAGTAGATTGACAACGAAGGGGAACATTGAACAGAGCCCGTTGTAAGAGAAATGAACTGCAATAAAATGCTTAGATGGGCCAGTTGGTACATCCTGGGAAAATAAGCGCCAAAAAAACACGGACAAAGAGTAGATTGACAACGTCCCACCAGTCCCACTCGTCCACACGGGAACGCATCGCTCGCGAGTGACTGATTAGCACCGTCTATCGTTCGGCCATATTCAGCAAGGTTCAGTAGCGCCATCTGTCGTTCTGCGACAATGGTAAGTGCCGCAATCGTTTATCTCTTTTTTAATATGCAAATCCTGACTCCCCCCTTTCTCTTCACCCCAAAATAAACAAACAACATAATATGCAAAGCTATCGCCCATGAATATAATTTCGGGTTTTTTTCTGGAATCCTTAGCTCGTAGATTGAGCTATGACAATAAAACGAGGAACTAAAAAAAGAAAAAAAAATCTATAGTGCCCCTTGAAGCTTTCCAGGTGCTTACCTCCAAAAGAAATGGACCTCTTTGCGCCAGGTGCTGCTGTCAAATTTCCTGTTTGAGCTTTACTTTCACTAGTCATGGGTCGTTCTCCTACAAAATGAAGTTGCGTTACAACTTCTATACAAGTACATTTTAGTAGATTGCAAAATCAACGTAAAAAGCCATGTTGACGACAGCTTTCCTGCATCTCCTTGTGTGTCAGGCGGGTGCCAACAGTGAAGGCAGGCGCATGAGCGGCGAGAGCTGCATCAATCATCACAAGTTTATTTTTTTTTTATAACCAGAGCAGGGGCTTGATCATTCTAGACAGAAACCTTTCGAAACTCCACTGAGGTCGGTGCTAGAAACTAGACAGCTT